TTTTATATGCATACTCTATTCTGTTTGGTGATGTTTGTTGTGCGACGGCTAGGCGGGTCGTTACATTATTCATTATTCTTATATAATTTTTCATTTTCAAAATTTTTAGTTTTGGAATAGATTTGCATCATTTCAAAGAAAAATTATAAGATATTTAACCAAAAAAAAATTATCAGAACACTCTTTTGAAAATTAATATTAACTTTAATTTATTTTTCTTTTTCATTTTAAATGACCAGAAATTTTGTGTGTAACATATACAAATTAAAACAATTAAACAAGTATAAAAAAACTAGATTATAATCTATAACTCAAATTATAAATTTTTAATTAATAAATAATAATGGTAGCACATTATCAAAAAAAATTTGTATGACTTACAAAAGTACATTTTTAATTTGATTTTAAAATTTTAATAGAGTATGATAGATCATGATTACAATAATACAGGGAGAATCAAGACATTATTTCAAGACAAGCCTTATTTATTAATAATAAGATAAATATATGATAAGAGAAATCAAAAGAAATAAATCAGTTATATAGTATATTATATATTATACTTTCCTCTTTATATTTGATTAATTTATTTTTTATAATAATATTTTTCTTATATACTTTAATTATATAAATTTTATTTTTATATTTACATAAATTAAAAAATTGGTGTCCCTCTAACAATGGGACACTGGACGGTTGCCAACTTTAACCATATTCAGAGTTGTCATTATCAAATACTATTATTTTAAACAAATGATCATATAAATTAATATATTATTATTATTATTATTATTATTATTATTATTATTATTATTATTATTATTATTATATAACCAAGTCAAATTGGATCACAAATAGAAAAAATAAAATATGTTACTCGATTCATACGGTATTAAATTTTAATAAGCTGAATTGGTCTAACTTAAACATTTTTAAAAAAATTAATTTAAATTTATTAAATTAGTTTGAAAATTTCATTTTGAACTCATTGAATTAATTTAAACCAACTCAAGTTCACAAATTAAACATATCCGATTACACTTTTAGATATTAAACATATCCGATTACACTTTTAGATAGAAGCAATTTCTCTCTATTGCGTTTATTGGATATAGTAATATTAAATTGATGACTTAAGATTTGAATTACTATTCAACAAAATTGATAGCCTCGTGCAACAAACAATTAATAAATCACCTACGGCAAAATTTTAAATATGTGTGTGTACTTTAATTCTCTATATTTATAAATTTTTTTTTATTGAATTGAGTAATTAATAAAATTTAATAAATATAGATCATGTAACACATTTATTTCATTTTAATTTACCAACAAAATAACAAAGTCTGACAAAGTAACATAATGTTAAATACAAATTTATTGTAAAAATTATTTCACAATTGCAATGAAAATTCACTTCAACCAAATGACTCAATTCTGATACAAACTTTCTTTGAGATCTTAGTGGAACATTCTTGATTGTTGCCTAGACAAATGATGTCTCTCATTTCAACTTCATTATATAATTTAATTCTTTAGGGAGTTGGGTAGCATCTCTATGCTACACAAAAACTTAAAAAAAATATATAAATAACTAATAAAAAATTAATGGTATCAAATATATTGATTATATATATATAAACTAATTAAATCAAATATATGTATTTTATAAACATAAAATTAAAATGAATCAACATCCTCAAACCCAAAGGCATTGCCTCCTCTTCTAAACGACTTCTTCATGATTGCCAAGACAATAGTGGTGTCAACTGTTAGGTATATGCTCGTGATACACATGCTTGGACCAATTTTGGCATAACTACAATTTCAAGCATTATGTGATGGCGTGACATTGGTGGTTCTGAATGTTGTTGACGAAATGATCATTTCATTATAAAATAAATGTATTTGATGGACCACGGTGGAAGACATGTTGAGATCTCCTATGCTAGCCTTCACCAATGAATTAATTCAACTTATTAGAAGTTTTTCTTAATTCAACCTAATTTAATGTTTTTTTTTTTTCACTTTTGAGTTATAGTTTTTATTAATGAAAAAGGTCAGGAACACACTATGGATTGATATTATTTAAAATTATAAAATTATTTAGACTTTATATCCTATTTATTGAACCTTTCTCTTGATTTTATATATATATATATATA